CAGCAGCTGGGCTGGCAGCAAGGCTGGCAGCAGCTGGACACACAGCAGCAGGGCTGGCAGCAGGGTGTGCGGCAGCAGCTGCTCACACAGCTTGGCTGGAAGCAGGTCCTACAGCAGGTGGGCTGGCAGCAGGGCTGGCAGCAGCTGGAGCCACAGCAGCTGGGCTGGCAGCAGGGCTGGCAGCAGCTGCTCACACAGCTGGGTGTCCAGCAGGTGGTCCTGCAGCAGGTGGTCCTGCAGCAGGTGGGCTGGCAGCAAGGGGAGCAGCAGGAGTTGGTCATGGTGTTGGATGTGGAGAGAGGAGTTCTGTTCACAGGTGAGTTTCCCAAAAATCTATTTTTTTCTTTGCTGTTTTACTTTTTATATGTGATGGCCCAGAATTCGGGCCAATGAGCAGAACTTGTGTGTGTCATTATTTATGCTAATTTCTCCACTCTATGAAGTACTTCAAGGAAGAAGTTGCTCCTTAAGTGTTTTGAATTTTCCCTTAGTAATCAATATGTTTACTTCCCTAATTGGTAAGTAAACAACTAAAACTCTTTTCCTTAAATGAGAAACCAGTTGCCATTCACTACATCAGCCTTAACACTCATTTTTTTCTTTCAGTGTGGACAAATGTTGGTGGATTTTTTTCTGCCCCCCAACCCCTGCCCCGCCAACTCTATGTCTCCTTGTGTCTCTCTTCTTCCCAGCATCCTCTTTGCCCTGAAAATCCTCCCTAGCTATTGGTCACTCAGCTTTTTATTAAACCAGTCAGAGTGATACATATTCACAGTGTGCAAAGATTATTTAACAACAGACAAAAATATTTAGTATTGATTATTTACTATGATGCTTTAAACGTTCAGTTTTTTTAACAGAAGAAATTAGCTGCACACATTTAAGTGTTTCTTTATAAAACACAATAAAAGTGAATAATAATTGGTCCTTGTGATTCCTGGTAGAAAGTACTGTCTCATTTTTGCATATTATAGATATATTCTTGCATGGGAGTTCCTAAACAATGCTACCAAATGACCATATAAAGCCTGCATGCAGCAAAGGCAAATGGTCTTCATAGTGCGTTTTCACCTCTCTGAGCTCAAATATGCTCCCTCATTTCATTAGCAATTTTATTATGTGGCTCTTAAGAAGGAAAAATCTATGGTTTAATTTCTTCCATAGTTCACAGTTCTCAGGAGACACCTACTTTTGGAAATATATAAGCCAGCGATGTTTTTTTTTTCTAACTTTTATTGATTTTTCTGTGGATTTCATATGCATCCTGAACCCCACTTATCTCCCTATTCCCTCACTTCTGCCCTCTGCCCATGCAATCTCCCCCAAAAAACAAAACAAAATAAAAAAACAAACAAAAGAAAGAAAGATAAAAAGGAGAAGAATCTCATCGTGGAAGCTATAGTGTGACCTATAGAATCACATAGTTCACCCTTTAGCCGATTAATTTTTTTTTTTTGTAAGTGTTCACTGCTATAGGTCATTGGTCTGGTTTGAGGTCTCTGACTTCTGCTACACTATCAATAATGGGCTCTCTCTGGGCCTCCTCTTGGATAGCCTGTTGTCCTGTGTCATGGAGCTCCTGCCGTTTGAGGTCTGTCTGTTTGTCCCCTTCACAGGCTCTCTTACAGTTCATAGATGTGCAGGATGTTGGGCAGCAATGTTTGAATAACCAAATATCCTATAGAAGATGACATCTGTTGATGCAACTGTAATAAATAAACAAACATCTATGTCCTCCATTTTATTACCAGCATGTACTGGAACTGCTGTAAGATCGTTTTCCTCTTCCCATAATTCACTTAATTGCTGTTTTAAAACTTTAATATTTTCAACACTTATAATTTCTATCTTAGATGAAAGTTCTGACCACTACCCTTTTATGACTTCCTGAAGCCAGCTTAAGATAACTATTGCATGTCCTTCTGATTTGCTTTTCAGTGATGGTTTTACCAGAGCACTAGTCTGCACAGCTGGGAAGTGAGATGTATTGTTTTTCTTCCTATAACCTATTGAGAAGGCGAAGGCAATCTGCCACAATCTACCCAGTCCAAGTTCTGACTAAACGCCCTCAGCAGTTCAGAGCTTCACCTGATCCCTGCCCAACCCTACTCACAGCCATTCAAAGGCTTCAGTGCAAGGCCTGCTGGGATAGCTACCTAATCTTAGTTTTTTAATTCTTTCACAACTTCATACATATATAAATTACTTTCGTGATACTCATTTTCTCTTTATCCCTGTCCACTCTCACCAACCCCCTTTTCTCTTTAATGTGTTCCCCTCTGACTTCCATGTCTGTCCCATGAGATACTACCTCTAATTAAGTTTGCTTGTATGTACAGAGGTGGGATTAGTTACAGGGTCCACTTAACAGTGGCCACACCACTGAAGAATATGTCTCCTACTCCTCCCACCAACCATTACCTGTGGATAGCTCTTCAGGGAAGGGCTGGGTTGCACGGCCCCTTCCCCACCCATGATGGATCATTGACAGGTACAGCTGTGTGCAGGAAATCACAGATGCTGTGAGATCATGAGTGTGACAGCCAAGCCAGGAGATCTTGTGTTTCACTGTATTTTCTCTCTTTCTCCAGCACTTCCATTCATTCTTTCCACCTCCTATTCTGCAAAGTTCCCTGAGCCTCTGCTGGGGGTGAGGTGGGGGGGATGAGAAAAATATCTCATTTGGGGCTGAGGTCTCAACAGCCACATATTTCATCTTATGACCGATTGTGAGTCTCTGCATTCCCTGCAACCCACTGAAGAAAAAAGCTTCTTGGACCATGAGTGCCCTGGTTAAATATATAATGCATTTGTGATTGCATTATATCATGTTAGATATAATTTTGACCTAGTTATTGTTCTCATTTTGAATTTAAGCATGACATAAGGAAATGTGATTGTGTGTCAAATGAACAAGGGGTGGACTTGTGGTGGCTATTCTTGGTTGTCAACCTGACTACATCTGGAATTAACTAAACCCAAGTGACTGAGCACATCTGGGAGGGTTTTTTCCCCCTCAGTTAAGTCATTTGAAATGGGAAGACACACTTCTAATGCAGATTTTTGCAGTGGAAAGATAAGCCTCTAATACAGATCTTTTGAGGTGAGAAAATCCACCTTTAATCTAGACCACAGTTTCTTCTGGCAGCCTATAGAAAGGACATAAAGGAGGAAGCTTGCTCTCTTAGCCTGCTTGCTTTTACTAGCAAGTTCATTCCTTCACTGGCATTAGAGCCTACTTCTTCAGGATTCTGGTGTATACTGAAGACCAGCTGAGATATCCAGCCTCGTGGACTGAACAGCTCCTGGATTCTTAGACCTTCTGTTCACAGGCAGCCACTGTTGGATTAGCTGGACCACAGCCATAAGGCATTTTAACAAATCCCCTTAAATATATACATACCTATATGTGTATTTATTTCTCTAGAGAACTCAGACTATTACAACAAGTTATAACTACATATTTAGAAGGTAGTTTGATAGTGTATCAGTGGTAGAGTTCCCCTTAAGGCTTATGGTCTCCATAGCCATGGGCTCTTGGCCAGGTTTACAGTGCCAGACACACATTTTCCTTCTGTGAAGCAGACCTCAAATCCAATCAAAAAGCAATTGGAGCAATTGTATACCCCACAGTAGCCATGCCATCATTGTGCCAGTGGATAAATCATGCCTGCCAGGTTGGTATTAGATCATGTAGTAAGACCACTAATGACTTTTCTCCACTATGAGCCTACCTGAACCTCCTGGCACCGTAAAAGCCAATCCTCATTTTTTTTTAAACATATAAGGGTAATTTATTAGATGGACTCATAGTATGTGGTCCAGGTAGTCCAACAATAGCTGCCTCTCAGAATCCAGTAGTTATTCAGTCCATGGGGCTGAGTGTCTCAGCAGTCCCAATATGGTGCTGGAGTCCTTGAGGATTCACGAGAGCTGCTTAACTCATCTATGTTGGAACCCCAAAGAAGCAGTTTTTTTTATTTAAATTTTATTGATTCTTTGTAGATTTCACATCGTGTATCCCAATATTACTCATCTCCCCACCCCTTTGCATCTGCCCTCTGCCCTTGCAACCCCCTCCCTCAACACACCAAGATAAAACAAAATAAAATTTAAAAGAAAAGAAAAATCTTGTCATGGAAGCTGTAGTGTGACACAGTGAGTCACTCAGTATACCCTTTAGTTCATGTATCTTTACTTGCAAGTGTTCATTGCAATGAGTTATTGGCCTGGTCCAAGGCCTCTGGTTTCTACTACACTATAAATACTGAGCCCTCACTGGGATTCCTCTTGGATATCCCATTGTTGTCTTGTGTCATAGGGATTCTGCAACTTTGGGTCTACAGGACTGGCCCCTTCATGTGCTCCAGCAGATCACAGATGGGCTGGATGTTGGGATGGGTCATCTCATAGCCCTGGTTCTTGGTCTGGGTGGTTGTAGGGTTGGTCAGCCCACCATCTCTCCCTCATCCTCACCACCAGGGTGAGCTCTCCAGCACCATCCTGGCTAGCTCACCCTAGGCAATAAGGAGCAAGGGGTGGGGCTGGTTCTCCTGCTCTCATGCCCCCAGGGTTGGCTCACCCACACCTGCACCACCAGGGCCAGCTCTACTGTGTTGTCCAAGAGAGGTGCAAGAGCCATTTGGCTGAGTGCTACAGCTGGTGAGCGGCAGAGCCAGCTCTCTGGTTCTCATGACCTCAGGGATAGCTCTCCCACCTGCCACAAATCAGTGAAAGGCTTGAGGGGAGCTTCTCTCCCTTCTTCACTCCAGATGAGGGGCAGGGCCCATTCTCTCATGCTCATTCTTAGGGCCGGCTCACCCAAGTCCCCGTCAATGGGGTCGGCTCTATTGTGCTGCCCAGGTAAGATGCAGGACCTGCTCTCTAGAGGTGGTGAGGGGCAGGGTCAGCTCTTTTGCCTGCTGCACGTGGCAAGGGCAAAGAGGGGAAGGACATGGCCTTGCCACCATATGGCAGACAAGGGGTGTGGGGCCAGTTCTCCCGACCTCATGACCTCAGGGCAGGCTGCCCTTCCCCCACAGCAGGGTCAGCACTACTGTGCTGCCCAGGTGAGGTGCAGAGCCAACTCTTCCACTCTCATGACCCAGGGGCCACTGTTCCCCCTGCCACAGCTGGTGAGGGGCAAGGGACAAGGGGAGCATCTCTCCCCCTCACTTGCATGCTGTATGACAGACAAGTAGTGGGGCCAACTCTCCTCTGCTCATACCCTCTGGGCTGCCTCTTTCCAGCCCCTGCAAGTAGGGTCAGCTCTTCTGTGTTG